AAAAAAAAAAAAAAAAAGTCCCCTCCCGAGTCTCTGTCCTTGAATAAATGGTTCTCTAATGGGAAATGGCAGGAGAAGCTGGAGCAGCAGCAGCCACCCTGCATCCTCAGGCACTGTTTCATCCAGCTCAATACTCATGCATTACATCACTTTGGCCTAAACAAGGTTATCCCAGGGTTTCCAACATTCATGGCTTTTAGAGAAAACTCCGCCTGTAAGTCCATCTAGTTCAGACTCTCTTCCTCACCTCAAACATACCTTACTGACTGGCAGACAACCTCAGAGAGAAAACTTGGAGGCTGCCAAAAGCCAGAGGCAGAGTCTAGAAAGGATGAAGAGAACGGATGGCCCCTGGTGGGGTCCCATTGTCGCAGCTCCTTTCACCAGTCCAGGCTTCTGTGCACACCACACAACTGACCAGGGCAAGGAGCCATATGGACACCTCTCCCACTACCACTGCCTTGGCCAGCGACATCCATGGCCCCTGGTCCACACACGTGTGAGGCCACAGTGAGCACAGGGGAGGCAGCGTGGCACATCTGCCCAGGAGCTGGGCACATGGCTTCATGCTCACCATGTGCCCACAGGAAGGTGACTGGGGAAGGGACCTGGGCTTCAGCAACAGTAGCATGTGGCTGTGTCCCTGAACTGTCCTGGGCTGTCTGCTCTGCTGTCCTGTCAGTTCCTGCCCCTGATCCCTGCAGCTCATCTCCACCATGCAAAAGGACAGAGTGGGAACAAGAGGACTCACTAGGGCGCCCTGGCTGAAGCCAAGTCCAGCTTTACAAGAAAGCCCAGTGCCGGATCCTGGGCCACTGCTCAGCCAGGAGGAAAGCTGGGCCTTGACCTCCACTCAGCCTCCTGCCCTGTATGTCCTGCTCAGCCAGAACAGGGAGGTCAGAGGTGCTCTGAGCTCCCACCTGTCCACACTCCGCACCTGGATTCTAGCTGAAGTTTCTGGTGTGAGCCTTTTGAGAAATCACCTTCCCAGAAGGGGCTGGAGGTTGCCCTTACACCAAATCCCCTCAAGGATAAAGCCTGGCAGCAAGTGTGGCTCACTTGCATTACATCCATTTTATAAATGAAAAAGATTGATATAAACAATTTTTAATCCTCTGGAAAAGAACTATCCAGCTGCTCAGCCAGCTCAGTTCCCAGCCACTCCTCCTTCAGCGAGGCAGTTTTCACATCCTGAACATCACGTAGCGGCCTGGATTTCCATTCTGTCTTTTGTTTCTGACATTTTCAGGCGAGGGGCTCTGCCCTGCCCTGTAAGTAATAGAGATACTGTATTACACAGATGAATCCTCACACTGAGCAGAAGGAAACTATCCTGTGAAATCCTATCTTGTAGCTCTCCTTCCAAATTCAGCTGAAAACTCGCCTAATACTGAGGTGAGACAACGCCCGCTTTTCACCTATCCGAAGACAGCGGAGTACAGCTCTCCCTAGTGGCCCCGCAGCACAGAAACGGAGGGTCCTGCCTGGACAGCAGCACTTGACAAGGTGCCCGTGGGAACAACCACATGATCTGCTCAGGAGGTACCAGGACGACATCCAGTCTGCCTCTAAAAGCCAAGAGGAAAGCCTGGGAAAGGAGAGGAGGCAGAGGACATCTGTGGGTGAGCACACAAGGCACAGTCAGTATCTTCCATGACAAAAATTCTGGTAAAAAGGAAGAAGGTGACACCAGGCCCGAGTGTGTCTCCGGGACAGCTGGGCCTGCTCTAGCCTGTCCCTGATACAAGGCAGAGGAGGCTCCTCATCAACCTTCCCTCCCACGGTTTACTTCTATGTTTCTAACCGGCACTAGGTTTGAATAAGGACCAATTTCATTTTACCAATTATGAGGCAAGGGCTTGATGTCTTCTCGTTACCCTGGGCCTTAGATAAAGCACCGAATTCACTGGCCATTCTGAGACCAAAATGGAAGAAAAATTAAAAGGGGAAGAGGGGTTGATGCTGGTGAGTACAAAACAAAAATTTCCAACTGACATAATAGATGAATCAATTTTTTTTGGGGGGGGGGATAAATAGAACTCTTCACTGCTGTTACATAACAGGAACGACCACAGAGGCAAGAGAGACACTAGAGCAGCCTGTTTGAGAGACCCCATACACATAGTCCTTTGCACATGCAAGAGCCCACTGCAGATTGGCCCTGGGGGTGCCACTCTCCACGGCACCTGTGCACTTGAGGACGAAGCTCTGAGAGGGGCTAGCACTTCGCTGTGCTCACTGCCTGGCACAAAAGGCCCTGAAACAACCAGGCCATAGGTCAAGGAGGAGCCGAGCACATTTCAAACTCACAGGTGTGTTTCTCTGCAGTCTCCTTACAGGGCCAGGCCCAGCTCCATATGATCTTTGGCACAGACACGCACTCCTCTCCCAGATCTGCTCAGCACACGTCTGAGCTCTCACCACAGGCAGGTCTCTGGAGGTGCAGACCCCACCCTGAGACACTATGTCATATCCTGAAAGTCCCAGCCTGGCAGGTGGGAGGAGAGGCTCTGGAGGGCAGCTCCACCTATTCTCCCACCAGGAGGCCAGGAAAAGGGCTCTGAGGAAACAAGGGGACACCGGGTCCAAGGTCATATGGCTGGTGGGCTGCCTCCCTGTCCTTGGCCAGTGGGTGTTTATTAGGCTTCTGTTGGGTTCTAAATTTGCAACACTCACACCAGTGGGCAGACACAGGCCTTTCCGTAGCTCCACTTTCTGCTGCAACAGCACTAACAGGACCAAGCTTTAGGCTCCAAGGCTGGGGTCCTCAGAGCCGGTGGGAGTCCTTCTGACTTATCCTGAAACAACACTCCAGGGGGCCTTCAAGGGACACCCAGGAGCTAGACGAAGCCCCTGCGAAAACATGGTGGAAGGCAATCCTGACCCCACACCAATGCACTTATGGGATTGAACTCAGGACCTTGTGCTTGTATGGTAGGTGTGGTCCACTGAGCAATATACTTTTGGTTTAGAGAAACACAAAGTTTCTCATCAGCAGCTCAAAGCACAAGATTACACCCAGGTATAAAACGTCCAGACACCACACACACACAAACCACCTGTGCATACGTGCTCAAGGACATGGTCACACACGCTGGCACACACCCACAGACAAGTGCACACTCGTATGCACACACACATGCATACACTCCTTCCTCTCCTACCCATAAAAGGGAAACGAAAGGCCTCGGGAGGCGGAAGACAAGCTGGACTCCGGGAGCCAGTGCTGCCCTCTCACGACTGCAGTTCCATCCAGGACACACTGTTCCTCCGGTCTCTCCATCCCCCAGGAGGTGCGTCCATAACGATGGGGGCTGAGGGGCAGGAGGACCGAGGGGCTGCTGGAGTCACAGGATGAAAGAGGGAAAAGCTCCAGTTCTTGCTGGCATCTGTTTTCCTCCCTTGGATGCCACAGAGAGAGCTCATTTCATAAGATTCAAAGCACTGCTCTTTCTAGAAATGTCTCTGACTCTGCTACGTTACCATGTGCCAGGAGCAGGTTCTTCAAGCTCCTTCAGAGTCGTAACCTGACGTTGAGACTGCTCAGCCCTGGACCGTCTGACAGGCTGTCACCAGGCAGCCTCTGTGGCAGCCCCCTGCCCGCCATCAGGTCTGACAGCAAAGATGGCCTCACGCACTTCTCCCATCCTGTGGTGTGAGGTGGGGAACAGGAGTTGAATAAGAAAGCAAATCTCTTGAAACATGGGAAAATTCTTTCTCAAACACTGCTGGTTAGCAGTGTCTTGTACTTCGGGAAGGGGAAAGAGAAAAGACAGTGGCCCGCTACTGGCACACAAGCAGGCAATGCTATTCACCCACACACTGACTGCAGGGATGGGAAAAACATGAGCTCACCCTGGTCAAAGCCATTACGACGGTAGTGGTCCAGCGCCAGCTCCTCCACAGAGCACAGGACCGTGGTGGGGGTCGTGGTGTCCCCAGCTTCCACAACAAACATGGACTTGCCCATCCCATGCTGTGGGCACAGCCTGCCCGTGATGGTCACCTAGGACAGCAGCAGAAGAGCATCCGTCAGCTGGGGCCAGCTAAAGCCTGAAGACCTGCCTGAGTCCTGAGGATAAATCTTCCTCCCCTCACAGCCACATCCTTAGGAGCGCACAGATATGACCTTCACTGGTCTGTGACAGGTCACATCCCAGCACGGGACAGCATCTGTCATCGAAGCAGCTCTCCAGGGGCCCTGAGTAGGACACATGAGTGGCAGGCACTGTGAGTCCCTCCAGCCCAGGAGTCTCTCCAGGGAGGAGGGCGCTAGGGTGACAGGGCGAGCAGTGACCACATCGTTGTCGGAAATGCATATGAGAGTTTCTAGTTCAGAAGAAAATACACACTGAATCTGCTCTTAGGGTGCTTCCAGTCAGAAAAACCAAATATATGCATTTAAATCCAAAGGGCCCAGAGGAGAGCTGGGGATGCAGCTCAGTGGTTGAGTGTACTCACATGCACAAGGCCCTGGGTTCAAGCACTAGGGCCCAGCAGACACTTACTTACATGTTTAATATCTTCCACAGCTATTTCCGGCAGCTGGCGGAAGAGATGCTTGTACTTTTTACAGCTCGGGGACTCCCGCAGGCGCATGGCTCTCTGATACAGTGAAAGGCGGTGTCCTGTCCTTACTTCTGGATCTGCCAGCCCTTCAGCGATGCATCTGATAGCCTAGCAATAAGGCATCATGGATCAGAATCCCAGAAAGCCCGATGGAATCACACATTCATTTAATCTGACAGGAAATTCCACTTCTAATGATTCAGTTCTGCTAACTAGCAAACAAGTAAGCAGTACTTCCAGAGATATAAACTCTTTCCTTAGACATTATTCTGTTTTCCGTAACAGGTCAACTGTAACCCTCACAGTGAATGTGATGCTGGCACAAATGCCTGATTACCAGCATGGACAGTGGATCCCACTGACCACCTCCTCCCAGTGTAACCCGCATGAGACCTTAGAGGGACACACCTGGGGAACTGTGTAAGAAGATACATGCCACACCTGACCTGATGACTGAGAAGCTTTGGTGCAGGGGCCCAGGGACTAACATGCAGCTAGGACCACGGAGCTGGCAGAAGCCTCACTTACAGGGAGACAGACCAAGGCTTTGGAGGAGTTTAACATATCTCCTCACGTTACTGAGACACAGAGAAACCACAAGAAGAGACTGCTTTACACCTACTAGGATGTCTGTAATCAGAAAAGTGGAAAATAAGAAGTATGGGCAAGGATGTGGGGAAACTGGAAATCTCACATCTTGCTGGTGGGAGTGTAAAAGTGGGCAAGCTCTGTCCATCAACAACAGTTCAGGGGCTCCTCAAACAGCAAAGCATAAAACTGCCATATGACCCGGCTATTCTACCTCCAGGCATATCCACAGAGAATTTAAAACAAGACTCAAACAGGTACTGGTACGAATGTGTTCACGCGGCACTTCCCACAATACCCAAAGGTGCGGGCAGCCCAAGTGTCCACCTCTGGATGACTGGACAAACCATCTACACAGACAGTGCAGTGGATACCACTCAGCAGGTCTGCATACAATAACATGGATGAAGCTGCAAACAGTATGCTAAGTGAAAGAAGCCACAAAACAGAAGGACATGAAATACCTAGAACAGGCTCGTTCACGGAGACAGACAGCAGCTTGGAGGTTGGCAGGGGCTAGGGGAAGGGGAGAATGGAGCATAGGCGCTTTGTAGTTACAGAATTTCTGTTTAGGATGACGAAGGGACTGTAGTGATAGCTGTACAACATTGTGCACATGCCACTGACTTGTACACTTAAACACTGTTCAAATGGCAAATTTATGTGTACATTACATGTATTTTATCACAAAAGGAAAACAAAAAAAAAATCAATGAAAGCTCAAGGCATGAGGCACAAATGGAGTTAAGAAGTGAGAAGGGAACCTTGGCGCATGCTCTGCCCCCAGCAAGGGACACGGGCAGCAGAGGCCTGGTGCAGAGTCCCCGCTGGCTGCCTAGCACTCCAAAGGAGGAAGCATGGAAAGAATGCTGCCCAGGAAGGAAAGCCACTCGTGTGGCCAGGGTGATGGCTGGGAAACAGTTAAGAGGGACGAGAGGTTTCCAGCGTCAGAAGCTCAGTGGCCTGTCTGCCACTAAGACCCAGTGAGTACACAGGGCTGTGAGCAGTCACGCAATCTGTGACATCCTTGAACCTTTGTTGCAATGGAAGAGGTGCACAAACAGAGGCCTGCTCCCTTCCCGGCTTGGTTCTAGACCCCAGAGCCTTCCCTGGCTATGTGAGCTTCCACCAGCATGGAGAAAGAGGGGCACCATGCCCACCCTCACCACAGAGCACAGCTCCCACCAGCCTTGTCTCGGCACCTGAGGTAACAAGACACTTTTCAGTGGAAGGCCATAAAAACACCATGTCATGGTTCTGCATTCCGTGGCCAATTTTTTCCCACTCCTCCATCACTCTGATTCACTTAATGTGCCCCTGAAAAACATCAAACCTCTCTGAGGCACAGACCTCTCCATTCAACTCGAAGGGAGGGCTGGAATGGAGATGGGAGAGGTCGGCAGCTACACAAAGAGCCACTGTGGCTGCCTGGCAGGGCAGCAGCCTCGGAGGCCACACCCTGCCTGCTCACAGCAGCAACAGGATCCTTCTGTGCAAGTCCCTGAGAACCTCAGCACAGAGAGCCCTGGTGCCCTTAAGAGGAAGCGGCCTGTTCAGGGTTAGTCTGTCCATGGCAGAGCAAATCACCTCATGTAAGCATGGAGAGCTACTCTCAAAGTACCTGGAATAAGATAAGGAAAGGGTACTTTATTCAGCCTCCTACCTGGAGACCCTGAACAATAAGCACATTGCCATTTCCAAGAAAAATAAATCCACTGCGAGTGTAGCCCAGTGGTAGAACATCTGCACAAAGGTCTGCACCTGATCTCTAACACCAAAAAAATAAAGAAACCCAAAAACTCACCAATACCTGCTGAAGGCTGTGACACCTCACCCTCCCTCTCCCTTGATTCCTAGATCCGAACTCCTGAATCCCAACACAATTCCTGCCAATCCCACTCCCCAGTCAGGAAAGGGAGCAAGAGATCGCCTGTCTTTATCTTAATACTTGTACTGGTGTCATCCAGTTTACATCTTTTGGGGCAGAAAAACTCAAAGAATGTCAAAAAAAGAAAGAAATGTTCCAATTACATTTAGAGCTCTAACATATTTAATGGGCTGGGGCTGCAGCTCAGTGGTAAAGTGCCTGCTTAGCAGGTATGAGGCCCTGGGTTTTATCCCAGCATGAAGAGAAGAAAAGAGAGCTTAAAAGTTTGTCCTAATTAAAAAATGCATCTAAAAGTAAGAAGAGCTTCAGACACGTGTTATGGTTTAGATCTAAAATGTCCCCCAAATTCTCATGTGTGGAGAAGGGGACAGGATCTCGCGGGTGTTACACTGATCAGTGGATGCCTCCAAGGGTGAGTTCAGAGCTGTGCAGCTGGGGAGATGGGCCTGGCTGGAGGCGTCCCTGGGTCCCTCACCTCAAAGTGTGTTTCTTATCCTTGCTTCCTCCGTTCCCTCTGCTTTGTGGCTGCCACGATGGGAGCAGCTTTCCTCCTCTAGGCCCTTCCACTGTGCCCTTCTGCTAGGAGCCAGAAGAGCAGACTGAAACTGTGAGCCAAAATAAACCTCTCTTCCTTTAAGCTGTGGGTGTCAGGAAGCTGTGTCCAGGGACTAGAGAAGGACTAAGCCAGTGTCCTTCTGAGTACCGACCGGTTCTAGGCGCTTCAGGTGCTGGTGCAGGTTAAGAGCCAGTCGATCCCACCATCGGCCTCTACTGTCAGGACAATAGACTTCCTGAGACAAAAGGTTTTCAAGTTCCTTGACAGCTTCCTATTGCAACAATAACAAAGACAGCTCATGAGACTCTAAATCAATCTACTCGTGTTATATTTAGAAGCAGAAAGGATTGGCAAAGAGTATTTATACTGTGTGTCTTTCCCTACTAAGGCCACGGACCAGGGCTGACACACAGGGACCCCGAGACACCCTTCCGTGTGGGCCTGAGTCCCCTGAGGCATCCCTCCTTTGGTCCAGACCCCTGCACGATGCTCCGTGCAGTCCAACTCAGCCAGTGCAGAGTCCCGCGGGCCGAGCTCCAGCAGGCACTGAGCCCTGGCTGGGCTCGGAGCAGGAGGGGTGTGGGGTAGGCAGAGCAGGGACAAAGGGTGGCCTTGTTCAGACACATCCCATGAGGCAGGGAGACCCTCTGGTCTAGACTGACAGCAACTGTTCCTTCTTTATGCTCATCTTCAGTGGTTCATGGATCTCTTTGCAAGACAACTTACCAAGGAAAATGTACGCACCTCTGTACACATGCAATCTGGAGATTCAGGGGTTCCCTAAAGGCCGTCCCTGGGACCTCTTGAGCTTCTCAGACCCCAGTTCAACTCAGCTTAGCATATCCTCTTTTTAAAACACCACTTTCTGATATCAAAATATCAAAACACAACAAAAGAGAACTCTGACAACTTCACAGTGTTTGGCAAAGATATGACCACATTTCTGACACCTAACTACCCAGACCACCTGAGACAGCTGACTCGGAAACAAGGAGAGGTGAGATTTCAGCCTGAGAGACTCTGGCAAAGCTCCCTGAGCTCCAGAAGACACTCGGGCTCAGGCTGCAGAGACCTGTCTGGGAGCCCCTGTAGGCCTGTCCATAAGCCCTGGGCCACCCTGTGCATGCACAGATGAATAAAGACAGAAGCCTGCCCACATCAGATACACTGACAGAACACTGAAGCCCAGCGGGGTTCCCTCGTGTGGGGATGGGGACAGAGCTCTAACCTCATACATGTGAAGCCTCTGCAGTATCTCAACAGTCCGAGACCAAATCCGTGTATAAATCCACCCGACTGTGAAACACCGCAGGAAGAGTGGTAACTCCTCGTGGTACCTAGAGGGAAATGACACACCAGTTAATACACGTAACTAATAACAATGGTCAATAATTCAGTTTTGTGTTGTAAGACAACTCGAAGAAGTGGCAAAGAACACTGAATTCTTTTAAAACGCTATATTCTAACTACTTCCAGTCATGTACGATTTTCTTCACCACATTCTCACAGCCAGCCACCACCCGGTCCTAGATCACTCGGATGACGCAGTCAGATGAGAACAACTGGTGATACTGTAAACAGGGGGCAGCAGGCAGCCCTCCGGCCAGGGCCAAACCCCCTAATTTTCTTAGCCCTAAAACAAGCAAAATGGTTACTTCAAAATGCATTGTATTATTTACTTTTCTGTATATATGACTAGTATTTCTTTTTAAAGTTTTTGGATACATAAAAACACAAAAATTGGGGCTGGGGATATAGCTCAGTGGCACTGCACCTGCCTCGCAAGTGCAAGGTCCTGAGTTCCATCCCTGATACCAGGAAAACAAATAAACAAACAACAACAAAAACCCACAAAACATCATACATATCTGTACACAATAGTGTACTGTATGATGTTTCGATGTATGTCTCCATTGTGCAATCAGGTTGACATACCTACCTTTTCCACTCTTTGTCACTTCATTATGGTAAAACATTCAAAATTCTTTCTTTTAACCCGAGTGTACAACTCACAACCACGATCTACACTCACACTACCATGTTACAGCCCAGCAGAACTTCTTACTACCATCTGACAGAACTGACTACCCGCAGATCACTTCTCATCCCTCCCTGCAGGTCTCTACCATTTTAAATAAATGAAATAAATACAAAGGAGAATACGGGATACTCCACTGAGCTCGAGCCTCGATGTGCATCCATTAAGTGTAGGGAACCCAGCCACACACACTCATGGCGTCCTGCCTGGGCCTGGCATTGCACCAGTAAGGCAGCGCAGAGTGGAGTCACCGCCACAGAGGAGAGCCCGTGGGCTACATGGCCGCAAAAACCAACTGGCTTTTTACAGAAGTTTAGCAACCTCTGCTCTTTGGTAATCTAGCTTCCAATTTCCTGGCTATGACTTTTATGTCAACATTATTCTTTATAAAATGTGTGTCCTAACTATTTTTATGAAAAATCGCTGGGTAATCCTTGTTTTTCTCATCATTATGCATCATATAGGAAACATTCCCCACAATACTGCAAGTATTTAATGTTTATTAGACAGAACAGCAGATCACACACCACGTATTCAGAAGGTGAGTGTTCACTTGTGCTGTCTTTCAGGGTCTCCATCAATAGAACAAGCCTAGTCTGCACCCTCACACATAAAGTCAGCTGTACAGTGCTCAGGGAGGCCACACCCTGAGAGACACTGGCAGGCTAACAGCCCGGTGTGCACTGTCCAGGCCTCTGAGTGACAAACGTAAAGTTCACTTTGAACTCTGCCATCGCCTATTTCACACAGCACTCTGACTCTATGCAAAGCAGGAAGAAAATTCCAATTCTGCCACTGATGTGACCACAAAACAAAAGGTGTATGTTCTCCATGATCAAAATCTCCTGCAGAAGTTAGAACAGGTGGTCAATAAGTAAGTTTTGCCAGGTACCTAAAAGTAACTCACTAGAGGTATGGCTCATTGGTTGAGCACTTGCCTAACATGTGCAAGGCCCTGAGCTCCATCCCTAGTACCAAAAAAAAAAAAAAGAGTTTCACCTCAGGGAAGGGTGGTTTTTCAGTTTGTTCCACTCCCTTTTTGCACTGTCAGAGAGGTCCTTAGCTTCTCCCCAGTTCCCATTGGCCATGGCGGTGGAAATGTCGCTCAGCATGTGCATAGCCGCTGCGTATCTGGGGGGAGACACCATGTAAGCTTCAAATGTTGCGGAGTGTTCCCACAAACTGCCACCTCCCAGCCACCAGATCAAACTCCCAAGAATCGAAGCATGCCTTTTAAAATCTGAAGGTCTAGTGATAACTTAACATAACTACCTCACTGGAATGGCCCAGAAGACCCGATAAAGGCTGCCCGGCAAGAAAGACAAACAGTTACACTGCATGATTCCAGCACAAGTTCCACTGTATGAATGTGACATTGATCAGCTGCCCATCCTGGTTTGCAGCATCCATTCATTCAAGTAAACACATAACTGACTCCAGAGTCATAATAAGACGGCGATTTCATACCTTAATCATTCATAATCAGCTGTAACCAGAAGGATGCTGCCCAAGCTAAAAGAATTAGCTAGGATATTTAAAAAATAACTTCAGTGACACAGTTTAACAGACAGCAGTGCTGAAATTTTATTAACAACACTTAGCTGAAGACAGATGATTTTTCATTACTTCTTTTGATACCAAAAACAAAGCCATTTGACCAGTGGATTCTGTTAACACTTTGAGTACACATTCTCTGTATTTTGGACTCAAGTCTAAAAGAAAAACCATGCAGTATAAGTATGTACAAACACTGTACACTGAGAAAAAGGAAATTTCCTAATATAAAAATCTGCTCACAAACTCTTAAGTCTAATTATTTTATGATATGCTACTGGACAGCTCATTCTGAAGTTGATAAGAAAACAGAAAATGTATAGCCCATTAGGGTCACCTTGTTGTGGCCCTGTGTTTCCTCAGCCTCCTCTCCAACTTGAGGCAAGTTACTACTCAGGCTTCTGAGTCACACCTCCTGAGAGGTGCCCCCTGCTTCCTGGCTGTGGCTCCTCTCTACCCAGGATCCGAATGCTGGCTGCCCAGGAAACTGCCTTCCCTTCTCCCTCAGGAGCCTCATTCTGCTCTACAGCTTGAAGAACCAGCCACAGGCCACTAACTCTCAGTTCCCTGAGCTCCTGACAGCATGTCCAATGCCACAAAGAACAGCGTCACTGAGCAGTTAAGGGCACCCTACTTTAACTCAGGACAGTACCACCTCCCAGGTCCCTGCCCACCCCTCCCCGCCCAGGCAGAAGAACACCGGAGCCACCCTTGAGCCATTCCTCCATTCTTCCCTATGTCTAATCATCAATCAGTCTTTTGTAATTCCAAACTATCCCAGACAGACTCACTAGTCTAGCTGGTCCAGATGGCCATGGCTGTCCTACCCCTAGACCACCACCAAGGTCAAACTAGTCTCCCTACGGCTTCTCTTGCTCCTCTTGTCCACAGCCTGATTTGGTTAAAAGTAGGGACCAATCACTCACCGGCCTAACCTCCTGAAAGCCTCCCATTGCTTAGAGAATAGATTCAGTCTGTGCAGAAGGGCTCTGAGACTGAGCATCCTCTGGCCCCTGGTCCCTGTGTGACTTCCCTTTGAACTGCAGACTACCAGGGCTTTAGCATGCGTGCCAAGTTTCTCCATCGCAGCCAGCCCTTCCCACCTCACAGCCTGAGTACAAGCTTGGCTTGCTTCCTTGCCTGGATGCAGGTACCCAGACACTGACACAGCTTCTCTTTTTCTTTCTCAAGTCTCATTTGCAATGTCCCCTCCAGGGCCACTCCCTGACACTATCTATCCACGCGGCCGAACTTCTCCAGCCTGTCCCTCAATTGCTACAGCACTTTTCATACACCGCAGTTACTCTGTTAATTATCTAACTTTCCATTGACTTGTAACCCGTAACGACAACGACCCCCTCTTGTTCACTGCTGCAACTCCACTACCTGAGGACATAATAGGTACTTGACACTCAACTCATTTTTACTGACTAGATGAACATCAATTCTCTCAAGTACAGAAGTGAGTAAAAGGCTCCTAGCCCAGGTATCATATTCCCAGTACTGTGTCAGATGACCCTTCCCGAGTCAGTGAGCCCCCATCTCATGTACATGGAAGGCCCTGGTATTACAGAGGGAGTTTTTTAACCATTTTATTACAGCATCCCTACCCCATACAAAGAACAGGAGGTAGCTTACTTTTTTTGCCCTATTCCCCTCACATATGAACTTGTGAACTATATTTTGTCGATCACAGAACTCAAAAGTAAACCCTTTAGATATCACAGTAATTAGAGTAATAACTAACATATACTAGGCATTATCCATGAAGCTACACATATCTGTAAGGGGAGACTTATTCTCCCCATTTTACAAAGGAGCAAAGTGAGGCACAGAGTAGTTTCAGAATCCATGAGTACAGTACACTGGAGCTTGGCCCCAGAACACACAACTTCACACAAGGGAAAAACACAAAAGCACTTCAGACAAAAATGGTAGACTGACATAAGACGATGAAAACAGGTTAAGAAGAAATATTCACTTTAGGAGATTTGGCTACCAAAGTTATTCTGATTAAACACAAACAGGATAATGAGCTTCCTGACAGGTGAGGCAAATGGGCAAAAGTCAGTTTACAGGGACACTGCTTTGATTCAGTTAGCTCAGTAACTTACTGTCTGAAGCACATTGCTGCTCTGTGTAACGGTGAAAGAACTTCCCCAAAAGCAATTCTCTGAATCGATTTTGGTTAAATTTGAGTCAAAAATTCATATCAAGAATCTATAGTGGCATTTTAAGAAATCTAAATTCATTTTTCTTTGTTTGTTTGTTTGGGGGGGTACCAGGGAATCGAACTCAGGGCCTTATGCTTGCAGGAAGGTGCAGTACTGTTGAGCTATATCCCTGGCCCAAAAGGTATTTTTTAAAAGGAAATCCAAGGTGTTTTTTTTTTCTGTAAGAACTATATTATTCTTTCTTGTCAAAGCCTACTTTTGGGCTGGGGATTTAGCTCAGTGGTACCATGTCCGCCTTGCAAGTACAAGGCCCTGAGTTTGATCCCTGGAACCACAAAAAAAAAAGAAAAAAAAAAAAAAAAAAAAAAAAGGCCTACTTTTGCTGATTAGACTAAATTCTCATTAAATCCAAGTACTAATATAAATTAGTGAAAATTTCTAATATCATGTATGGGATTCTAATACCCAGTGTACAAGTTATTACAGTGAAAACTTCTCATTTACCATGTATGATTCCAATACACTGTATACAAATTACCAGCTTCATTACTACGTTAGTTTTAGTAATAGCAGAACATTCATCTCCTGCCTTCTTCATGCTAACAAAATATCCACAAGGCAGCTTTGTTAAAAGTTGTATTAAAAAAGTGCTTCCTGCCAAAGCTACTTGGGAACACAAGACAGAGAAAAACTTTGTAGTGCTAACTCAAAACCCATTGCATTTGGCAACCTTCATCTAAGCACATTTCTGCATTTTCCCTGGAGACTTCAGGTGCACTCATGTGAGGCAAAAAGGTAACAAAAACTATACACTTCAAAGTGCATTTGGGTGTGAAACTAATATTTTTACTTTGCCTGAAAGGAAAAATAATAAAATCTTTCATTAAATTTGAATAGATATGATGGAAAGTTAACACGATCCTACCTGATAAGATCCTCTCTGTCCTGGAAGATTTGGGTTTTCCGACTGACAATATAACTAGGGAACTTCACTCGGCCAAGAGTGACCAAGAACACTGTGGAAAGCTGACCTTGACCACCACAGGCACTTTCTTCTTCTTCCACAGAGTCAGTCAATGAAAACAGGAGTAAGATCCGAGAAAACACAGCCCTGGGACCTCTACAGACTCGCAGTGACTGTCCAGCCAAGGCTTTAGCTCTGAAAAAAGTACATTACAGAAATACTTTTCTGGTTTTGAAGCATTTGTCACCATATTTTATAAGTTTAAAATAAAGATAAATGGTAATAAAGATAAATGGCACTGGGTATAGTGGTGTACACCTATAGTCCCAGCACTCTGGAAGGTTGAGGCAGGGCAATCTCAGAATGAATTCAGCTCACTTCTGGATGTCTGCAAGGTGAGCTTGGACATCTGAACTAAAGCTAGGGCAGTGAGGGCACTCTGACTGTAGCAGTCAGAGTCTATGGAGAGCAGGACTTCTCAGCCTCAGCTCCACCGATCTTTAGGCTGGATAAATTTTTGCTGTAGGGTCTACACCATGCATTACAGAGCACTCAACAGCATCTCTGGCCTTTACTCACAAGATGCTTTTGGCATCATGTTTCCCAGTGGTGACAATCAGAATGTCCCCAGATATAATCAGAGACCTAAGGGGACCAGAGCAGGATCCCATCAAACTACCATTGTATTAAGTATACTCAGCTTACAGACTGCTCAAAAATGCCACCTTCTGGGATAGGCGTAAAACGTGCCTAGCATGCATGAGTCCCTGGGTTCAATACCTAGGGCTGCAAAGGAAGAAAAGGAAAAAGGAATAAAGGGAAGGAGGGAGGAAAGGAGGACGGGAGGGAGGAATGATACCCACTTCCTCCATCTGTAGACAGAGCCCCAGGGACGCCCTGGGCTACAAGAGGAAGCATTAAACATGGAAAACCAAGCAGTGATTCTTTATTAGGATTTAAAAAGTACAAATGACACACTTGTTTCTTCTTCCTCAAGATAACAATAGAGGAAGATAACCAGGAACTGCCCTACTTTGGATCTACAGGGAACTCTCAAATTCTACTGCTGCCAGGCGTGATGGCGCTAGACTGTGTAATCCCAGCACTCAGAAGGCTGAGGCAGGAGGATTTCCATGAGTTAGAGGCCAGCTTGGACTACACAGCAAGACCCTGTCTCACCAAAAAAAAAAAAAAAAAAAAAAAAAAAATCATTCTACTGATGGGAACTACATCAAAATGATTAAACATAAACAAATACAATCTTAAAGGATTTTAATAAAACTAAAAGTCTTGAGAATGTTATGCTCACCTAGCCTACATGAGGCCTTGTGTATTAAGACTAATTATATGTCAACAAAAATTTATTACTTAAAAAGTCAAAATAGCTGCCCTAAAGTCCATAAGAACAAAGTTAAAACTATTTTTATTCAGTAATAAAATATTGAAATTTACTAAAGGCCTACTGTTTTTGTCCTATTATCTACTGATTTTTCTTGGTCCTAGAAATTAGTATAGACTTACAACATGAATTTTGAATAATAAGCAAAGAAAGAATCCAGACTACTATAATTAAGGTTCCTCCAGACTTTTCAATCTAATTCCAACTGAAATAAGCAATTATAATTCAAAAAAGTAAACAATCCATAATGACAAAGTAATATGCTATGAACTTCATGTGGTTTTCTCCCAGGGCTCACAAAGGTCAGGCATGTGCTCCTCCTCTGAACTACGCCCCAGCCCAGCTATCACAACCGAGTGTTTTACACTAAGAGTTCACAGACCTTTTTAAAATAACAGCTCCAATTCCAGGCTGACTCTTGCCCCAAGTGCAGACTGAACGCTGCCTGGCCAATCTGAGAAAGGCGTCTACCAGCTGCTGTTTCTGTCCACTGGGATTCACCAGGTGGAAGGTCTTGGCCAGGGCTTTCAGTTCAGGAGCAGAGAGGAGTTCAAGGACTTCAGAGAGCTCTTGTAACTCAGATTCTAAAAGCGTTAACAAGGACAAAAGTAAATTAAAACTATGTTAAAGAATCTATTTTCTAGCTTCACTTACATGAGGAAGAAGGAAGCTTAGCTAGATGAAAATATGAAACTTTACCAGAGTTTAATGAGTTTGCTGAAACCAAAAACTAGTTTGGCAAGAATAACAGATTTTCTCACTAAAAAGTAAAGGACAATGCGACTCTAACAAAGAAGACAAAATAACCATTATGGTTTAGGAATCCTACTTATTTTTTAAACTTTCTATAATATACTTTCCCTGTCTTTGGCCTCAGCAAAGCTCTGAGGGGACCTCACCAAACCAGGTCGCAGTAAAGGGATCATTAACTCTCTTCTCCACACGCCCGCTCCCTGCACATGTGCCAGAGGCCGGGAGCCCTGTCGTCCGCTCACTGAGCCGCCAGGAATATGTCCTGCCACTGCGGGCCCAGACACCACAGCAGGCCTGGGGCACTGGCTGGGTCAGACTGGGCCAGTCTCTGCCTTCATACAGTCACAGTTTAGGTGCCTTCTCCTGAGCAGTGAAGTGTGGACTTCATGCCCAGTAATGTTCTAAGACCCTGTGCACAGAGACAAGTGATTAATGGGCTTGTCCACGAGGAGTTACCTGAGTACAGTAACAAGCACACATATCAACGTCCCCAGCCAGGAGGAATCTCCACCAGGCATTTCACGTTCACCCCACCCAGCCCCACCCTAACAATTACCCTAAATTCATCTTTACCTACTGTTCCCAACTAGACTGTACTCCAAAGAAAACATCTGGGCTCATTTGCTTACTTTATCTAAAATATCAGCAACTTGAACCCAAAGCTCTCATCTTTCATTTTCCTTATCGCTACTTTTCCAAATACTGTACAAATAGGTACTTAATGCTGTAATAAGACAACGCAGGATATCACTGGAGAAGACAGTCTCCTTCAGTGTTCACATGGATTTGAATCAATTCTCTAGGCACTCAGTGTATAAAAGCTGCATGTGTGTGCATATGGGGGTAGATGAAGATTCACAGGCAATACTGACGGGAAACAAGCCAGCTTTATTCTGTAGCTAAGATGGAAATCTGACTAAGACGAATCAAGTTCTTGCTGGAAGAGCTGAAATGTAATTCTTCTGTGGTACAACAGGTGACTATATGGTTGTAAACCTTGGCCAGGCAGGAAAGTAACAACACATCACTATGGTATTGGTTTTAAACCAAGTTATGAATGACTTTAGCATCACATGAGTAATGCTGCCCTAGATGAAAAACCCTGCTTTAAAAAATAAGCAATTACTTAGGAGTATATCTTCAATATGTAGAGGTACAAGATCCCAACAATGAATGTAACTGTACTGTATCCCTAAAATGTACCAATAAACTCAATTAAAGCTGAAAAAAAAATAAGCAATTACTGTTTACCAGGCACCAACCAAGAGATGCCACCACCTGAGTGTTACCATCACTCGGCAGAAACTGAGACCTTCAGGTCACGTTTTCATTTCAGTTCTTTCCACCAAGCCTACCTGTCTGTACAAAGCCTGCATGCTGCAGTTCTTCGATCATAGGTGTTAAGTCTGGAGCGATCTCTTCATATTCTAACTTGTTCACTTTAATCCAGGTTAATTTTCGTTGAAAGAGCCTTACATATAACTTCTGACCACTAGCTGCAATAAAGTTAATAAAAACAGTGTAAAATAGTACTTTTTAAAAGAACAACATACAGATACGATTTACTTTTTAAATCTGAGGTGAGTAAACAGCCAATTATTAGCAATACACATTTTTTGCTTTAGGTAAAATGTCAGTTTATGGTACAATCCATTTAAAAAGTTCCAATTAGCCAGGGATTTAGCGCAGTGGTTCCGCCACCTGCCTTGCAAGTGCAAGGACTAGAGTTCAATCCTCAGTACAAAAACAAAAAAAAAAAGTTCCAATTCAACGCAATTACTGGTCATTTTAAAACTTCATTTTCTAATGTTTCTATTCCCTCCGAGAAGCCTTACTTAGAATTTTAGTTGTTCTGTTCTCTTTTAGTTCAATGTATGGTATTCTACTTGGGTTGAAAATAATTTTCAAAAAAATGCCTATCTTTGGTAGGACAATGATCAGTAAGTAACTCAGTGATCAATACTAAACTTCTGAATCTGTTTAGTCTATTTCCTTAATAACCTGAATTATCCTTAAATTTCTGCCACCTCTAAAATGGTGTAATCAAAGTTTTTAAATTTCCAATATTCACTTGTTTTTTTATTTTTTAAAGAGGCAAAATCAATTAGCATTAGTTATTGGCACATTAAGATATACTGTATATAAGTCTCCATCAAGAGCAATATAGAAGAATATGAACTTGCACTAGGGAAACTCCCAGTTTCTCAATAATATGGAAGCACAGAGCCACTCACTACCCAATAACAGGAATGCAATCAGCATGCAAGCAAAGAGCTGCAACTCCTCCGGATAAGGAGCCAGTGAGACAGCATCACATCCATATTGTAGTGAAAACAAACAGAGAAGCTGTGTGGACACTTCACACTCCTGTACCCAGAGTTCACTGGCCAAAAACTAATACAAGGAGTATCATGATAATCCCACTGTGTAGACTTAAAAAAAATCTTGGTGGTAAAGTTTGGGATTTTTTTTTTTTTAATCTACTAAAGAGTAAGACACATCAACCAAGCATACAGTATGGCCACCCAGTAAGCATGTCGTCGTCTTGAAGGGACTCTGTTCCACAGAGCCTTCATGGGGCTTTAGATTAACAGTGCAACCACACAAGGGTGGCTTTTGCTGCAAATCTGCACTGCCTGCCTGGAGTCACAACTGCCTGCCAAGGGTTTGAGGCACAGACCAATTTTTTCAGATGTACCAATATAAGCTTGGAAGTTTCCATGTCCTGCACAATCTGACTTTAACAAGCAGAACTCATGAACTGAAAAGATGAGGGAAAGAAAATATGCCCCAAGTTGATTTGTTTTTTTCCTGTATTTTATTTTACTTTCATTTTTGAGGAACTGAAGTGTGAAAACAACAAAACAGCCCAACAGACAGCCTGATTATCTGCTCAATATGCAGAGTATGCTTTTCTTCATCATGCTACTTGTTTTTTGTTTTGTTTTGTTTTTTTTGATCTGGACAAGGTTGCTCTTACAAGCACCAAATTTAAAGGAAAAATGGCTGACTCCATTTTAAGTAACATACTGCTTGCAGGAGTAGACAGCACCAGGCATACAATCCTCTTTCACACACAAATCTTTCTTGATACAAACCGTATTTCAGGAGGCTCTTGATTACCATTACTACTCCCACAGAGAACTCACAAAACCACAGTGACTCCTTGTGGCCATCGGTTCACCACCCATCACATCACCCCCAAAGCAGGACAGCGAAATGGAAACCATCCAAAAGCAAACAGGCTAGATACCTGATAACTGATAAAATTTGGTTATAACCTCCTTATCCTCGGTGTCAAAGAGCAGCCTGTCATCTTCGTTCTCTAGTACGGCTTTCAGGACCACGAGGAAACTCCGGAGATAGTAAGGATGACTTAAGGGTGTTACAGCTGTGTCACCAGGAACATCACGGCTTGAGCCCATGTCCAGAGGAATGCTGCAAACTACTTTATTCTTCACATCGCTGTCACCCTCCTGAAATTCTTGGATGTCACTCCATTTAGAACCATCACTTGTACAAGTAGATCTTGCCTCTGAACTCGACAACCGTGTTTTAACTTCTGAAGCAATGGTGATTTCTACTTCTTCACAAGGGCACAGCTCACGTTTTTCAAAATCTTTATCATCTACTCCTTTGATATTCTCTTGCTTTACAAGCCCATCTTCTGAAGTGGACTTGAACTTCTTCCCAAGTGTTACATCTGGTGAAAATCCTATGACAGCCTTACCTGACAAGCCAGGGCCAAGGGCTAATTTCCCACATTCATGGGTAGCCTTTTGGCTTTCAGTTTCTGTTATCTTACTCCTATTTACCATACATTCAGGAGTATTCTCTTCCTTTAGAGAATCACATGTAAAAATGTTTTCCTTTTGAGAACTACTCAAATTTTCATCCTCATTCTCAATTTCTGAACCATTATCAGCCAGGTTCCTAACAGCTGTGGATATGGAACTTTGTGGACAGCGACTGGCAAATTCCTCACTCTTACCTAGGGACTTTTTGGCCTTTATGTATTTTCTGGACAGTTTAGATGACAGGCTTCCCAAAGAAATGACTTTCACATTATGATTTCTCAACTCTTCCTGATTTTTGCATACTGTGGCATCATCACTTTTAAAGTAGGGACTGGTCTGTTTTACACTCACTTCTGCCAAATCACTCTGGCCAGGGGTTAATCTTGTCTTTGGTGGTGATGAGGTCTCTGGTGTCACATCTTCTGAGGCAACACTGGTAAAATCTACTACGGATGAATTTGAATTAATTAAGCCAACCTGCACTGGACCAACGTGAATGGCATCTCTGTTAGCACACACCTCGTCCAGGTGCTGGTTTAAGTCGTACCTGGGCACCATTTTACTACAAATGGGGCAGGCAAGTTCGGCAGGTGGCACATTGTCAAAATACGAAATAATAGAGTTACAGGCATTGTTTTTAGTTTTGCTGGCTGATAAGCTTCTACGGGGTCTTTTTTTGTCAGGAGATTTCCCTTCTGGCATGATGAGTACAGTGTTAGGGTAAAAAGCGTAGTCCAAGCCGTAAAGCTACACAGGCCAACGTGAAAGATGGCATGTTTTATTTTCACTTTTTTGGCTTGAACTAACATGTGACCTCCTGTTAATCCTTTAGGCAATCGCTTCTTCCTGCAAAATAAAACACCCAAGGTTTAAACGCACGTTTAAGAGTTAAGGAAAGCGGGGATGGAATCGGCCTTCCACCGTGGAGCCGGCGAGCTCCCTGGATAACGCGGGCTCGACGCTGGAAGCCAGCGCTACACGTTTTCCCTGCCCCTTCCCTAAAATGACGTCTCCAGACCTGTAAGGATTATTAAAGGCCTTTTTAAGATAGAAAATTACCATTTTTAGAAAGCGTAAAGTCTGACCGGAGCCTTTCGCACAACCCCGCATCAGTGACTACCTCGGGAGGGACTGCCGCCTCCA